GGGTTTAGGGTTTGTAGGGTTTAGGGTTTAGGGCTTAAGGTTTAGGGTTTAGGGTTTAGGGTTTAGGGCGGCTAGGGCAACTCGGTCAGCTAGGGGAACTGGCGCTACTGACATCGGGATTTCCGAGAAAATTATCGTAGACTAACCCCCCCCCAAGGCCCTACTCTACTCATCAAGGCCCCTGTATTGCCGAAACTGTGACTTTTTGGAAGCCTTAGTATCTGCTACTTGGAGGTTAATGGGCAGTGACAAGTAGGGATCTGAGTACCCTAAATAAGGCGTTTACGGGGTATTGCTGGTCGAGAGGGGGAGAAGAGTCGGTTCTTTCAAGTGCCGTACTCCCTAGCGACTGGAAAGCTTAAACCCCAAACCCTGAACCCGAAACCCTAAACCCTAAACCCTAAGCTCTACAATGTATGAGATATCATTCTGAGTTTGCAAAGTTGTTTGTCTATGCAAGGCCCCGTCCCATCAAAAAACCCAAGCTTGATGAAATTGATCCAAAACGTCCCTGGAGGCCAAATATTCAGTTTACTTCAAACTTGACAGCATGCCAGTCGAATGTGCGGTCATGTTGTCACTTTCAGAGCCCTTGTCAAGGAACTTACAGTAAGCCACCATAGTACGCATATCATATGATTTGCCACATACGCCGATGGTATCTTCATTTTAAGGCCCTTAACAAGAACCCTAAACTCCGGAGTGTCTGAGTCTGCGACGGCAGGTCTTTCCAAGCGCAAGACCCAAACAGCGAGTCGGGTCCCAAAACTCTTTTCCTGTGGCATCCTCCTTCCGCGGGTTTAGGGGTTTAGGGGTTCAGGGGTTTAGGGGTTTAGGGGTTTAGGGGTTTAGGGGTTATAGGGGTTATAGGGGTTATAGGGGTTTAGGGGTCTAGGGGTCTTGGGGTCTAGGGGTCTTGGGGTCTAGGGGTCTTGGGGTCTAGGGGTTTAGGGGTTTGGGGGTTTAGCGCGTCGCAGCTCCGCTTTTTCAAGGCAAAAGCCAGGGAGCCCAGCCCGCCTCTGGAGCCGGATGACGAGACCGATCTGGATAGGCAGGGAGACCTGAAAGGTGACACTAGGGTTTAGGGTTTAGGGTTTAGGGTCTAGGGTTTAGGGTTTAGGGTTTAGGGTTTAGGGTTTAGGGTTTAGGGTTTAGGGTTTAGGGTTATAAGTACCCCCTAAACAAGGTTAAAACCACTACTTACAACCCCAGTGAGAACTACCCATTGAGAACTCTTCAAGTAGGGCTGTTTTCGAAGCCCAGAGTTCAGCGAATCAATGGAAACATGTGGAGGGTTCACCAAGTTGGGGGGGGGGCTTGTTGGGGTCTTCTATTGAGGGACTTGAGGTACCTGACTCCCTAAGCCCCCTAAAAAGAAGCATGAAGGGGGTGCCGGGTTTTATAGGGGACGAAATCCTAAACTCTAAGCCCTAAACCTTAAAAAAACACCCCAAAGAGGACCCTAGTTTAGGCGATCCTAACCCCTGAGCCCTAACCCCCCAAAACCCCCCCAGAACTGGGCAATAGTCTAGCCATCCTAGCCCCTGAGCCCTAAACCCCCCAAGACCCCTCCCGAAAACAGGGGACCCTGCTAGTAGAGGCCCATGTTGACCATGCTGCACCATCTTTCTCCTTTAACCCTAAACCCTAAACCCTAAACCCTAAACCCTAAGCCCTAAACCCTAAACCCCAAACCCTAAACCCTAAACCCTCAAAAAAGCGGAGTGCAGGCTCCTGGCTGGGACATTCTTCGAGGCGGCGCCCGCGCCACCCAAGGCGGGCATGGGTTCGGGGGTTAGGGTTTAGGGTTTATAGGGTTTAGGGGGTTTAGGGTTTAGGGTTTAGGGTGTAGGGTTTAGGGTTTAGGGTTTAGGGTTTAGGGTGTAGGGTGTAGGGTTTGGGGGCTCTGGAGCCTAGCCTCATATTGAAACAGGGCTTACACGATTATGGTTTTGGTCGGCGTCGGTGTTCTTCCTTCAGGATTATGGTGGCCGCGTAGTGGGTGCCCTTGTGGGGATGCCTAATTGTAGTTTAATGGGCCCTTAGTATGGTCCCTTACCTCCCTTAAAAGGTTCTTGGGCCTTATGCATCAAAAACACCCAGAATCCGCGGGGCTGTGTCGGAGCAGTGAAAGACATGCTTGGCTCGCATGGGGTCAGCCAGGGCTTTTCGCTACGCAGAGGGTGGAACTTGTGAAAGTCGATGCTTACGCCCTAGACCCGACCCTAAACCTTAAATCCTAAACTCTGAACCCTAAACCCTAAACCCTAAACCCTAAACCCTGAACCCTAAACCCTAAACCCTAAACCCTAAACCCTAAACCCTAAACCCTAGGGTCAACGCCCTAGACCCTAAACCCTAAACCCTAAACCCCAGACCCTAAACGTTCCTAAACCCCAACGCCCTAGACCCTTGCAGCCCGCAGGTGCTGAGTCGATCAAAAGCTTTGGCGAAGCCTGCTCAAAGATTCCTGCCCAAGCCGAGTGAGGCGACACACGCTCTGATGTGCCTGTTTGCTTGGGGGGGTTTAGGGTTTAGGGTTTAGGGTTTAGGGTTTAGGGTTTAGGGTTTAGGGTTTAGGGTTTAGGGCCTGGAGGTTTTAGGGTTCATTTAGGGCATTTTTTTTTTTTTTGGGGGGGGGGGGTTAATGGGGCTTCGGACCTTGGGACTCAGACATTCTGGGGGTCTAGAGCCTGAAGCGTTGATTGTTTGGCATTTTGCTTGTTTAGGGTTTAGGGTTTAGGGTTTCGGGTTTAGGGTTTCGGGTTTAGGGTTTAGGCTTAAAAGAGAAAGATGGCGCAGCACGTCATGGTCAACATGGGCCTCTACTAGCAGGGTCCCCTGTTTTCGGGAGGGGTTTAGGGTTTCGGGTTTAGGGTTTCGGGTTTAGGGTTTAGGGTTTAGGGTTCAGGGTTGGTTTAGGCTTAGAACTGTCCAGCCTGTGCTGTGATCCTTAGGTAGTTCTATGAATCAGGGGGTCCTAAATGTGCCGCACCCTTCCAATAAGACCAAACCCTAAACCCTAAACCCTAAACCCTAAACCCTAAACCCTAAACCCTAAACCTTAAACCCTAAACCCTAAACCCTATATCCCAAACCCTAAACCCTATATCCTAAACCCTAAACCCTAAACCCTATATCATAAGGACCGCGAAAAGGGACCCTAGTTCAGAGAACTGCCCACATGACTCAGGGGAGCCAAACTTGAAACCCCAAGGATGTGCCCCTTAGAGGCTCCCTTATGTACTCCTAGCCCCCAAGCCCAAGGGTACATCCTAGACCCAAAACCCCAAACCCTAAACCCTAAACCCCAAACCCTACAACCTCAAGGGGTCCACGGTAAGAGTCCCATGCATGACGCCCCGAATGCCTCCAGGAGCAGGAGACAGAGCTGGACCGGCTATGCGCCTCGAGCCCCGAGGCCTGGGAGCCTATGAAGCCTGTGAAGTCTTAAGGGCCATGATGGGACTTAAACCCTGAATCGTAAAGCCCTCAAGCCCTAAAGCCCGAAACCCCGAAAGCCCCACACCGCTAACCCCCGAAACCCGCAAACCTCGTAAAGCCCTAAGCCTGCTAGGCACCTCCTCTGCGCTATCCTAAACCCTAAACCTCCTATAAGCCCTACCCTAAAACCCGAAACCTCCTAAGCCTCCTAAAACCCCTACCCTAAACCCTAAACCTCCTAGAGCCCTGAACCTCCTAAAGCCCTAAACCCCAAGCATGCGCCCCCATAAAGGCGCCCGACATTGCCGAGGCTGGTGCCCCCAGTGCCAGACAGAAGCCGAGGGCCAAACCGCCAGCATCCAGGCAAGAGTGGGCTTAGGGTTCAGGGGTTTAGGGTTTAGGGTTTAGGGTTGAGGGTGTTGGGTGTTGAGGGTGCAGGGTTAGCGTTTGAATCAGCAAATTGCCCAAAATGCCAATGCCAAATGAACTAGGCGCTCTCAGTACAGACGAGGGATTACGAAAATAGGGGGAACCCCGAAAATAGACCCCAAATAGTAGGATCCCCTTACAACAGGACCCCAACAAGGTCCCTAAACCCTAAACCCCCTAAAGCCTAAACCCTAAACCCTAAATCCCCAGACGTGGCTGCAGGACGGATGGTGAAGATACGGAACCGCCATCGGAGGATGATGCCACCGAGCCTCCGAGCGATGAGGAGCCGAAGACCCTCGGATTAGACCGCATGGGTTTAGGGTTTAGGGATAGGGGTTAGGGTTTAGGGTTTAGGGTTTAGGGATTTAGGGATGAATCCGCAATGCTCCTGCACTCACGCCTTGCGTGGCATCGTGGCGCATGACCCGCCCATGCTCTGCCCACCTTCGCCGGCTGGCGCTAAACCCTAAACCCTACACCCTGATACCTAAGCCCTTTACCCTCAAACCCTTTAGCGTCTAAGGAAGGCGGACGTTGAGCTCGAGCCCACTTCGATGGTGGACACCGAGGCACCTGGTGTAACTCTTGGATATGCACATGACTTTCGGAAACCCGCATGTCGCTAGCTAGGCCACCAGCCCCATCCAGCAAGAGCTGTTTCGTGATACGCCCTCAGCCCGCCCCTTGCAAAGATTCCATTCAGAGTCCTGCGTTCCCACACCCCCGCCGTCCTTCTCGCCCCTCAAGCTCCTTCCCACCCCGGCCCTCCCCGCCCGCGAAAAGACCGACGTTTCAAGGGTCCTAATGCATGCCCACACCCCCGCCGCTGATCTCGCCCCTCGGCATGTGTGTTAAGCTTATCTGCATGACTTCTGCATGGATAAGCCTGATGTGGACGATGCTTTGCAGGGCGTTTGCAGCTCTGGGGTGCCCTGGGCAGCCTATCGGTTTGAGGGTTTAGGATTTAGGGGACCACATCTGGGCATCGGGCTTTCTTGCCCCGCATGTTTGCAAGCATTCCAATGTTGCCGAAGAGCTGACCTGCTGCCTGCTTCGCGCAGGCTGAAAGTGAGGCTTCTCGGCTGCGTTTTCGAGTCGCAGTTTGTTCGTTTGAAGCATGGTCATGCCATTACATGCCTGGACAAGGGGTTGAACTTTATATAAGACTTTGGCGTGAAGTGGGAAGGCTGCACCAAGATTACGTGCTGGATGGTTTCCGCATGGCATTTGGCACTAACCTTCAAACCCCAAACCTAAACCCCAAACCCCGAACCCAGGCCCAAACCCCAAACAACAAACCCCAAACCCCAAACCCCAAACCCCAAACCCCAAACCCCAAACCCCAAACCCCAAACCCCAAACCCCAAACCCCAAACCCCAAACCCCAAACCGTGTTCAAACCCTAAGCCCAAACCCTAAACCCCAAATCCGAAACCCCAAATCCGAAGCCCCAAACCCCCCAAAGCTCAGGCGGCTGAGCGGGAGCCTCCCGAGCCCTTGCAGGTGCCCCGAGCCAGGCCGAAGCAGCGGGCTCGTGCTGCAAAGTCAGCTGAGGACTGCTTGGGTTGAGGGATTTTGGGATTAGAGTTTGGAGTGTAGGGTCCTAACCCTAAACCCTAAACCCTAAGCCCTAAACCCTAAACCCTAAACCCTAAGTCCTAAGCCCTAAGCCCTATGCCCTAAGCCCTAAGCCCTATGCCCTAAGCCCTAAACCCTAATGCATCATGTAGACAGATTTTTTACAGGATGGTCCGGTTTTGGACACCCAGCGTAGTGAGGCTGCGAATTGCTACAGGAACGGAGGGCTCCTATTTTCATGGCCAGATCTCAGTTGCCTTCTTCTTGGAGGGAAAGAGGGAAGGAAGGAGGGGAAGGAAGGAGGGGCAGGAAGGAGCGGGAAGGAAGGAGCGGGAAGGAAGAAGGAGGGGGAAGGAGGAAGGAGGGGGAAGGAAGAAAGAGGGGGGAAGGAAGAAGGAGGGGGAAGGAAAAGGCGAGCGAAGGGGAGGAAGGAGGGGGAAGGATAAGGAGGGAGGAGGAGAGGGAAAGAAGGGAACACAGAAACAAGGCAGGGCAGGATTCGACTCGAAGAAGAAGGAAATAGTGCAACTTACATGAGTTGCTTGCGATCTTCTAGGAGAACTCATGAAATCTCATAAGCGCCTTCTGAAATTCGGTGAAATCTTATGAGCCCAAGCCCGAACCCTACGCAATCTTACGCAACGCCATCCTTGGAACTATGCTTTGTTTCAATTATCCCTTTGGCCTTTGAGCATTATGCAGCCCTTTTTTGAGACGCACCTGGCTAAAGCTTGTGAACTCCCATGAATGCTATGACTGCGACTCTCGAAGTGTATGATGCCTGCTTCCTGCGTTCTTTTCGCGTGCCAAGAATCTGGAGGGATTAATGAATTTACCAAACGGCGCAAAACATGTTGTATTCTTGAAGCTTAAAATGTCAATGGACATGGAGGAGCCGTCAAACGACACACCCCCCCCCCCTCCCCCGCACCCACACAACCCACCCCTTAGGACATAGCTTGGAACTGCCCCCCTTAAACCCCAAACCCCAAAGAACCCTAAACCCAATCCCTAAACCCCAAACCCTACATCCCAAACCCATATCAGGAGCTTTATGCAGAGAAGCAGCTGGAGGCCTGGTTTCCGGAGCACTGTCTGAGTGGACGTTCCCCCCCCCCCCCCCCCCGAAATCTCATACCTCTGGTGCAGGCCATCTATCAGCAGGCCTGGCCTGGCAGGGGTGTTCGGGGTATGTGGTTTAGGGTTTAGGGTTTAGGGTTTAGGGTTTAGGGTTTAGGGTTTAGGGTTTAGGGTTTAGGGTCTTCCTGCAGCTCATCGGTTTATGAGAGAAGTGCGACTCCCTGTGCCGTCATAAAAACATCGCCGCAGGCCAGCAGGCTTGACAATGGAAGGTCTGCCGCTTAAGGGGTTTAGGGTTTGGCTTAGGGTTTAGGGTTTAGGGTTTAGGGTTTAGGGTTTAGGGTTTAGGGTTTAGGGTTTAGGGTTTAGGGTTTAGGGTCTTAAGTCTGCGGATGTCTGCGGTGCACCAAGCAGTGGAAGAATGTGAAAGGGAGCTGCTAGCACGGAGCAGAGACGCGCTGCCTCGAGGCATAGTGACGCTGAACAGGCCGGGGCGTGGCTTTTTGCGGAGCTGAGTAGGGTTTAGGGTTTAGGGTTTAGGGTTTGGGGTTTGGGGTTTAGGGTTTAGGGTTTAGGGTTTAGGGTGTAGGGTTTTAGGTTCAGCTCTTCGCGTACACTAAGTGGAGTGGTGAGGTGAGCACTGCATGGACTGCATCCGGACTGAGCTCCAAAAACCTTATGAGGCCTACAAGCCCTTCAAACCCTATAACGCCCTACAAGCCCCAAGCCCCTACAATCCCTTTAAGCCGTATAAGACCCATGAGCCCCATAAGCCCTATGACACCCCTTTAAGCTTTAAGCCCCTAAACTGTAAACCCTAAACGGGTTGAGGGATAGGGTTAAGGGTCAAACTCTAAGCTCCGAACGCTTCGTTTTGGTGCAGGACCGCAGCTCCGAAAGTCACTCAGACCCGGGCGACAAGGAGCTTGCCGTGCAGTCTGCATGCGGGGGGTTGCTCAAAATTGCTGGGTTCTTGTAAGAGCTCAATATCACCACAATAGGCCTATTTAGCATATGTCTGTGCTTATTCTGGTAGCTTAGTTCTTTACAAGAACCCAGGGCATAGGTCCTCATGAATTGGGTTCCCGGTCGGTTTTGGGGAGTCGGGCCTAGCCCATGGCCTAGCCCATGGAACTCAGAGCCGCACCCCTAAACCCTAAACCCTAAACCCTAAACCCTAAACCCTAAACCCTAAACCCTAAACCCCTTTCAAATGGCAGAGCACTTGCGGGCTGCAGTTTCCCCACCCTGATGTTTGGGCATGGCTCCTGTCCAGCTCAAAACTTGGGTCCCAACCGTTGCTCCCTAAACCCGAAACTTGGGGGATGTTCCCCCTTATAGTACCAGTCCTTAATAGGAGTTCTAGTACCCCTATTTATCATCCCTATTAAGGACTGTTACCCTAAACCCTAAACCCTAAGCCCTAAACCCTAAACCCTAAACCCTAAAGCCTAAACCCTAAATAACATCCCAACCCGAAACCCAAATAGATCCGTGGCTCCTTCCTCAAGGAGCCAACTCTATCGGTCATTTTAGGAGGAGCCCCTAGTGTGCCCAACAGGTTTAGGGTTCAGGGTTTAGGGTTTAGGTTTGGGTTTAGGGTTTCGGCAGGGCCGCGCAGGGGGGAACCTCTGACGCCCACGCGGCCCGAAGGCGAATTTATGGGCCGTAGGTGCGGGGGATTATGGGCACTACCCGGGCCTCTGTTTCAGTCGGTTTTTTCGTAGGGCCCAAACATGTCGTTTCCGGCATGCAGACTACGGAAGTCAGTTTCGGTGGCAAGGAGTCCTCCAGAAACAGCGACCGTGCACATCGTTCCCCTCAGGCCAAGCCAGCAGCGGCCTAAACCCTAACCCTGCACCCCCAAACCCTGATCCACTAAGCCTTGATACTCCAAGACCCTGATGCCCAAACCCTGATCCACGAAGCCCTGATACTCCAATACCCGGATATTCTTCTTCCCTGCTCCAATCCCCCTTGTCCCCGAATGCCGTAAGACCCCTTGTTCCCGAATACCTTGATACCCTACTACTCCAATTCCCGGATACCCAGATACCCGAATACCCTAATACCCTGATACCCTAAACCCTAAACCCTAAACCCTAAACCCTAAACCCTAAACCAAGAACCCCCCAAACCCCTCAGGCAGGCCGCAGCAAGGCCATGGCAAAGCCGAGGCATAGGTCGGAGGCGCGGAGTCCGCCGTGTGAGGCATTAGGGAGTTGAAGGTCTGAAGGTTTAAGGGGTTTGGGTTTAGGGTTTAGGGTTTAGGGTTTAGGGTTTAGGGTTTAGGGTTTAGGGTTTAGGGTTTAGGGTTTAGGGTTTAGGGTTTAGGGTCTAGGGTCTAGGGTTTAGGGTTTAGGGTTTAGGGTTAGGGTTTGCGATGTGTTTAGGTTTTTGGGTTTTGGGTTCAGGGTGGCTTAAGGACTATAAGTGGTTTTGAGGTCTTAGGATTTAGGATTTTCGGGTTGTAGTGTTTAGGGTTTGTGCCGCGAGATTGCCTCGTTGCAGGGGCGCTCACGGGAGGATGCCCACAGAGACAAGAGGCCGAAGATTGAGGAGGCCTTGGATACCTAGCTGCAGGGTTTAGGGTTCAGGGTTCAGGGTTCAGGGTTTAGGGTTTAGGGTCTAGGGTTTGCAGCTTTCTGGTGCGGCCCTCCTGGCAGGCTCCGGTGGATCACATCCCCTGTGCGCGGCCGAAAGTTCGCGCCCGAAGAAACCAGGACGGGCGATGTTTCCACCCACAGCGAGGAATGGCCAACCGGCTCCTTGATGCGGGTTTAGGGTTTAGGGTTTAGGGTTGAGGGCTGCTGACTGGGAAGGTGACACGGCCAACGCACTTTGCCAGTATGTTCGCATATTCTTATGATCATCACCATCAGCATTATTCTGATAATCATCAATGTTATTTTGATTCCTGAGGAAAATGTACAGGCAACCGTACTGGAAAAATGCAGGACAATGCGTTCGCACACCTCGACGGATTCTCCTGATCGCCAGCCGCAGTTCGACAGCAGGCTCCTGCCTCAGGAAGGGTGTGTTCCTGTCGTGTGACGTCGGGAAGCTCGCGCCGCTTTGAAGTGGTGTGCCAGATGCAGCAGCATGTTCGAGTTACAGTGCGTAAACTAAACTGTTACCCGAGGTACCTTTCCATGCAGCGTCCGTTAAAAGCAGGCGACAGATGTGGCTCTTGTATGCTCCTGTCTTGAAGCAGCTGTGTTAATCTGGACAAGTTGGAAGAAAGCCACACTACCCGAAGGCCGACTTCCGCGTGTACACGAGCCAGCCCAGCGCGGCTTCAATTCAAAGCTGGTAAGGCAGTGTGGGTGATGTGCATGGCCATGCCAGGCTACGTCCACAGCCCCCTGGCGGTCAAGGCACTTCAGTTGTAGTGTTCCGCGCGATGGCGTTGATGCGGAAGTGCAAGCAAGCCTACACAGCCTGTACAGCTGGCAGGTCATTGAGCAGCTAGCCGGAAGCTACAGCGGAAACGAAAAAAGTGTTGGAGCCCGCGTCTTCTGTCACCGAATGAATTCTTTCAATCTTTAGCTGCGTTGGTTTAGGACTGATGTGGCATGGCGAGGGATCATTTTTCTCAGGGCTGAGCTACAGATGCAAGACCCTTGTGACTTGGGAAAGCCGCCGGTGACATATTTAGTGGCTCAGCTCGCTCCTGCGAAAAACACGCAGGTCCGGTCGCAGTATCTGACCATGAGCGCCCCCACAAAGAGGGTGAGGAACAAAAGCCGAGGGGATGGGGGCGCCGAGAAATCCGAGATGTCTGAGAAGCCCACCAAGGTCGGCAAGGCCACCAGGGCGAATAGAGAGAGCCCAGCCTCTCCGCCCCTTCCGCCAGAGAATCAGATGGTTGCCACGGCCACCAGCACCGAGAAAGTCGAGAGGCCCACCAAGGTCAGCAAGGCCACCAAGGCAACGAAAGAAGGCACAGACCCCCCGGCCCCTTCGGAGAATCAGATGGTTACAAGCACCAGTGATGGCCCGGGCGCTGATGCGGCCACGGGCGCGGCCACGTCCATGGAGAGGCGGCCCTTCGCAAAGCTCCTGCTGGATGCGATTAACACCAGCCAGCACCTGATGCTGCCAAGAGGGGACCCCCTCGTGGACATCGCCCGAGTGCCGATCAGCTCCCCGGCCCATGTGGAGGCGTCGCCAGGCTCGCTGCTTCCGCCCATCCTGGAGTTGCCTGGCATCGTGGTCACAGCACCGGTGACTTTCCGGCACATCTGCTTGCGCTTGAACAGGATTGGTGACTTGGTAGCCCAGTGGTACCCTTTACCCTTTTTTTGGGTTCTGGGATCCCTTATAAAGTAAGCCCTAAACCCTAAACCCTAAACCCTAAACCCTAAACCCTAAACCCTAAACCCTAAACCCTAAACCCTAAACCCTAAACCCTAAACCCCAAACCCTCAAGGTGAAGTCGATCACCCTTTGATTGAAGTTCGAAGCGGTGGCTCATTAGAGATGACCGACTGCAGGCTGGAAGGCGGGATCAAGCTACAAGCTGGTACGTCTGCCCACCTGGTGCGCACCTATATCCCCTTTTGGGGAATTGTTTTTTGTTATTTTTGTTTATATAAAAATCCCAAGAGGATATTTAAGATAGTAGTTTTATGAAGGTTCTAAGGGGAGTATAGGCACTCGTGTCTCTGGGTCTTCACATGCCGGAATCTCGGCAATGGACCCGCTGGACCTGTCTTTGGCGGAATGTGAGATTTCGAACTGCAATGGCGAGGGTCTGCACGTGACCTCAGGAAGCCATCTGCGCGTCTCAGACTGCACTTTTTCAAGCAACGCGCTCAACGGGGCCTTGGTTGATGGCAAAGCAGGCCAGTCATGTTTCAGTGGCTGCACCTTCTCTGCCAATGGCCAGTTCGGTCTCTGGGTCGACTCTGGCAGCAGTGTTTCATGGAGCAGGAGCCTGGGCGGTACTTGAGAAGCATGACTTTTTGAACGTTAAGTTGGGTTCCGCAGATAGGGCTCCGTTTTTATATATGTGTCGAACCAAAGGGGGGATTCCGAAAGGCAGCTAAGGAGCTTGCTCCAAGGAAACACCTTGGGTGACGTTGGCGGGCGCGGAAGCCTCTGTGGACAGAAGCATGACGAGGCCTTCGCTGCGGGGGATGCCTGTATCGCATGGATTGAAACTGGGTTGTGCTTTGGGACATGTTTTTTAAAATTTCCCTTCTTTCCTTCTCCGGGAACCTATTCATAAGTAAGTTTCAAAGGGTTTAAAGGCACAACTCAGGAGAAGGTGGGCGAGTGGCTTCCCGCGACCGTCTTGAAAGTTCTACCGGAGGCTTTTCTCATCCTTGCCGAGGTTCCTGCGAAGATTGATGTGATGGATCCCGGGTCATAGTTGGGTAGCATGTTGCCTTTTTAAGGGTACTTAAACCCCATAAGGAATATATACATATATACATATATATATATATGTTGATATATATATATATGTGCTTTCTGAAGGGTACTTAAAGCCAATAAGGAATATGTAATCTTATCTTTACTACTATCCCAACCATGAACCCAGGAGCCCACTGGTCCGAACATCCTTCGCCGCAGTCGTCAGAAGGCGCCCGAGCCGGAGCGAAACCTTGGAAACGTGCGGAGCGTAGAGGTTGAGGTGCCGGTAGATGCAGTACCTATATCCCCCTTTTGGGAATTTTTTTAATAAAAATTTTTTGTTTATATAAAGCCCAAGAGGATATTTAAAAAGCAATATTTTTTGTTAAGGTTCCAAGGGGGGAGTAGAGGTACGCCTCCCCAAGTCTTCTGAAGAAGCTCCTCCTGTCTGGTCCAAGAAGCTGGCAACGTACAGGCGGCGCAAGAGTGCCTTTCTGCTGTTCCTTCGAGAAGGCGGAAAAGGCGCGGCAGCGTGGAAGGCTCTGGACGCCAAAGAACGAGCGCGCTTTCAGTTGAGGGCCAGAAAGGAGAATCAGTCTGCTGACAAATTCACTGCACAGGGTGCTTCCGAAGCGAGTCAGGGATCCAACGCGGAGAACCGTGCACAAAGACCGGCAAGGAAATCCGCATCTGTCTTCAATCGCACGAAGCATCGCATTTGAGATGCCAACGATGATGCTGATGCACGCTGCAAATTGTGCAGAAACCATCTCAGTTCATGCTTGGGCGATTCTCTGGATGATTGTCCTTTTACGAGTGTCCCTGTTCCAATAAGGGCCGTGATCTTTAGGAGAGTTAACTAGTAAGGGCTTCTAATGTATAGCTCAACCTAGGCAGGTCATGGATCGAACTTTTCCAGAATGCCATCCCCGCCATTGTCTGTTGTACCCAGACTAGAAATGGACGGAGTGCCCAGAGGCTTCCTGGGCTTCTTCGAAATTCTTGAGCGCTCATATGAGTCATTCATTAACAGGTCCTCGCACTACAAATAGTCGGATTGTTTTAAGGGCTTGTGGATTTCTAAGGAACGCCCGGCTATCTTCTTTTCTTAGTACGATGAGTATCTTCCTTTCTCGGATCTCACCTCGGAGGGAGATTCTCTTTCGTCTCTCACTCCCTGGAGCTTTCATGTCAATGGAGCATTAGTCTCGAGTCGAAATAATTCTTGAAGAATAGTAAGAACAACAGCAAGAATGAGAACAATATCTCATCGTTCTATTGTTTTGCAAGAACTTCCTGACTCGTCGGAGAATATCTAATTTGAGCATAACAAACATAATCTTCTTGATTCGTCGGATAGTATTTAAATTTAGCGAATGATGAGTATTTCCTCGTAGGCGTGGTGTAGGCTCCGCATTGTTCGCGCGTAGGCAGCTGTCGTCCAGGCCCTAAACCTTAGCCCCAAACGAGCCTAGACACTGGGAGACATTCAACGCCTACAGAAAAGTCGCCTCATGCAGAGAGAATCTGGGGTTTAGGATGGCTTGGAAGTTGGTAGGAATGTCACTGACGTCCATTACCATTGTCCCAGCTATTTGGGCTAACACATTTTCTGCCTCCCACCACTGACTCCAGCACCCATAAGCCATGGCTGCTTTCGTTCCGACCGCAACAAACCTGGCGTCTGCCCAGTCCTCAGCAGCGCTGCGGGGCACCGTGCCGCCGCAGGCACCCCCTCGCGACTCCAGCATGGGCGTGTCCCTGGCAGCAGTGGGCGTTGCAGCCTTGGCCGGTGCAATTGGCGGTGCCGCCAGCAAGCAGCGGCGGTCCCGCCGCACGGTGCAGAAGGCGGCCACCTCCTATAGGGACTTCCAGGACCCGTGGCTGGGTGCTGCGAGCCTCGGCTTCGACCCTCTGAACCTCGCTTGCGGGGGCGGGATCTTCGACAAGGCTTCCTCCGCAGTGCCGGAGACCACCTACTACAACTACCGGGAATCCGAGGTCAAGCACGGCCGGTTCGCAATGACTGCTTTCCTGGCCATCTTCTTTGACTCGGCTGACCGTGGGGCAGTCTTCCGCCAGCTTGGCTCCTTTACCGCCGTGGACACCCTGGATGGCTCCCTTGGTTTGGACGAGCTGCAGGGTCCGGTCATCGCGCTTGCGCTTGGCTACCAGGCGCTGGCGGAGTACAACCTGCAGAAGAGTGAGAAGGACGGCAACTTCCTCAGCGTCGAGTACAAGAAGGAGCGGTGCCCTGGCGACCTCGGTTTCGACCCTTTGAAGCTCGGCAGCTCAAAAGGCGCCGACAAGAAGGGCCTGCACAACATTGAGGTGAACACAGGGCGCTTGGCAATGATCGGTATCACTAGCTTCTTGTGGAAGGAGTTCCTGTTCAAGGATGAGGGCATTGCGGCGAAGCTTCTGTCCGACTCCAACATCTAGTGATGCAGTGGACGCAGTGGGGGATGCAATTTTCATGCTTCAGCCCTGTACCACAAGTGTCAAAGGGTTTTCACCGGTTTTCATGAGCTTGTGATTTTCCTCGTTGTTGGCGGTGCAGGGTTGTATAGAAGATGGCTGTCGTCCAGGCCCTAAGCCTTAGCCCGAAACGAGCCTAGACACTGGGAGACATTCAACGCCTACAGAAAAGTCGCCTCATGCAGAGAGAATCTGGGGTTTAGGATGGCTTGGAAGTTGGTAGGAATGTCACTGACGTCCAACACCATTGTCCCAGCTATTTGGGCTAACACATTTTCTGCCTCCCACCACTGACTCCAGCACCCGTGAGCCATGGCTGCTTTCGTTCCGACCGCAACAAACCTGGCGTCTGCCCAGTCCTCAGCAGCGCTGCGGGGCACCGTGCCGCCGCAGGCACCCCCTCGCGACTCCAGCATGGGCGTGTCCCTGGCGGCAGTGGGCGTTGCAGCCTTGGCCGGTGCAATTGGCGGCGCCGCCAGCAAGCAGCGGCGGTCCCGCCGCACGGTGCAGAAGGCGGCCACCTCCTATAGGGACTTCCAGGACCCGTGGCTGGGCGCTGCGAGCCTCGGCTTCGACCCTCTGAACCTCGCTTGCGGGGGCGGGATCTTCGACAAGGCTTCCTCCGCAGTGCCGGAGACCACCTACTACAACTACCGGGAATCCGAGGTCAAACACGGCCGGTTCGCAATGACTGCTTTCCTGGCCATCTTCTTTGACTCGGCCGACCGTGGGGCAGTCTTCCGCCAGCTTGGCTCCTTTACCGCCGTGGACACCCTGGATGGCTCCCTTGGTTTGGACGAGCTGCAGGGTCCGGTCATCGCGCTTGCGCTTGGATACCAGGCGCTGGCGGAGTACAACCTGCAGAAGAGTGAGAAGGACGGCAACTTCCTCAGCGTCGAGTACAAGAAGGAGCGGTGCCCTGGCGACCTCGGTTTCGACCCTCTGAAACTCGGCAGCTCCAAAGGCGCCGACAAGAAGGGCCTGCACAACATTGAGGTGAACACAGGGCGCTTGGCAATGATCGGTATCACTAGCTTCTTGTGGAAGGAGTTCCTGTTCAAGGATGAGGGCATTGCGGCGAAGCTTCTGTCCGACTCCAACATCTAGTGATGCAGTGGACGCAGTGGGGGATGCAATTTTCATGCTTCAGCCCTGTACCACAAGTGTCAAAGGGTTTTCACCGGTTTTCATGAGCTTGTGATTTTCCTCGTTGTTGGCGGTGCAGGTTGTATAGAAGATGGCTGTCGTCCAGGCCCTAAACCTTAGCCCCAAACGAGCCTAGACACTATGAGACATTCAACGCCTACAGAAAAGTCGCCTCATGCAGAGAGAATCTGGGGGTTTTAGGATGGCTTGGAAGTTGGTAGGAATGTCACTGACGTCCAACACCATTGTCCCAGCTATTTGGGCTAACACATTTTCTGCCTCCCACCACTGACTCCAGCACCCGTGAGCCATGGCTGCTTTCGTTCCGACCGCAACAAACCTGGCGTCTGCCCAGTCCTCAGCAGCGCTGCGGGGCACCGCGCCGCCGCAGGCACCCCCTCGCGACTCCAGCATGGGCGTGTCCCTGGCAGCAGTGGGCGTTGCAGCCTTGGCCGGTGCAATTGGCGGCGCCGCCAGCAAGCAGCGGCGGTCCCGCCGCACGGTGCAGAAGGCGGCCACCTCCTATAGGGACTTCCAGGACCCGTGGCTGGGCGCTGCGAGCCTCGGCTTCGACCCTCTGAACCTCGCTTGCGGGGGCGGGATCTTCGACAAGGCTTCCTCCGCAGTGCCGGAGACCACCTACTACAACTACCGGGAATCCGAGGTCAAACACGGCCGGTTCGCAATGACTGCTTTCCTGGCCATCTTCTTTGACTCGGCCGACCGTGGGGCAGTCTTCCGCCAGCTTGGCTCCTTTACCGCCGTGGACACCCTGGATGGCTCCCTTGGTTTGGACGAGCTGCAGGGTCCGGTCATCGCGCTTGCGCTTGGCTACCAGGCGCTGGCGGAGTACAACCTGCAGAAGAGTGAGAAGGACGGCAACTTCCTCAGCGTCGAGTACAAGAAGGAGCGGTGCCCTGGCGACCTCGGTTTCGACCCTCTGAAACTCGGCAGCTCCAAAGGCGCCGACAAGAAGGGCCTGCACAACATTGAGGTGAACACAGGGCGCTTGGCAATGATCGGTATCACTAGCTTCTTGTGGAAGGAGTTCCTGTTCAAGGATGAGGGCATTGCGGCGAAGCTTCTGTCCGACTCCAACATCTAGTGATGCAGTGGACGCAGTGGGGGATGCAATTTTCATGCTTCAGCCCTGTACCACAAGTGTCAAAGGGTTTTCACCGGTTTTCATGAGCTTGTGATTTTCCTCGTTGTTGGCGGTGCAGGGTTGTATAGAAGATGGCTGTCGTCCAGGCCCTAAGCCTTAGCCCCAAACGAGCCTAGACACTGTGAGACATTCAACGCCTACAGAAAAGTCGCTGGCTGGGAGGGTTTGGGGGTTTTAGGATGGCTTAGAATTTGGTAGGAGTGTCACGCGTGTCCCTGGCAGCAGTGGGCGTTGCAGCCTTTGGCCGGTGCAACTGGCGGCGCCGCCAGCAAGCAGCGGCGGTCCCGCCGCACGGTGCAGAAGGCGGCCACCTCATATAGTCTAGGAATTCCATGCATTTGGGGCCCCTCTGTTGGGGTGTTCACTATAGGGGAAAGGGACTATTTTGTGACGTGATGACCTGCATGGTTCAGGAATTGGCTCATGACGGGAGCTTTGGAGCCACAGTGTCATGTCTGTCACTCATTATAACTTGCATTCCATGGGAGAAACCTTGGGCACTCGGGTGGATGAGATGGTGGCAGGCAGACGCCTGTGGCTCAAAAGATGACAAAATGATGTCGTTTCTGGTGAGAAGAACCCACTGGCTTGCAGTCCCATGGTTCATGCATCAATAAAGTCGGCTCATATTTCATCAATCACTGGTCCTTGAGTCTTCATCTTCATCCACTTTCGCGGATCACCATCCGTCCACCAGTCTGGCCAAAACCCAATTCCCCCTCTCGACACAGATTTGGACAGGCTCGCGTCCCCCGATGCCCCAGGTTTGCCTGATGGCTGTGTAGGAGAACGTGTCATGAACACAATGAATGGGACATGCACCTGAACATGACTTCTGTTTGTTTGTTCTTGCGCCTTTCACTTGGATGCGATCGTTCCTTCGCAGTAGAACACGAGTTCTTGACACCGACATTCTGTACGAAACTGTGAGAGGCTCAAATCATGAATGCCTGAAATGGATGAGTCCCAAAAGAAGGACATCCAGGAGCTCGTCGCTTCACTTGCCAAGGGCAGCGACGATGCCAAGAAGTTGAAGGCTGCCAGACGTTTGGCCAAGTTGGCAGAGAGAGGTGGAAAGTGTAACGAAGCCATTGTTGCTGCCGGTGCCCTGCCACTGCTAGTGGGGCTCATCGCGGACGGCAGGGAGGATGCACAGGTCGAGGCTGCAACTGTTTTGTGCCGCCTTACCTCCAGGAGCCCTGAAAATGCTCAAGCCCTTAGCGCTGCAGGTGGCATTCCGCCCCTGGTGGCTTTGTTGGCCAATGGCAAAGAGGGCAAAGCGCAACACACTGCTGCTCTGGGACTGAAGAAGTTGGCCGAACACAGCTCTGAACTTCGAAAAGCTTTGGCTGTGGCTGGTGCCATCCCGGCGCTGGTGGCTGTGGTTGCAAAGGGCAACAACGTTTATACAAAGGAGATAGCTGCCAATGCTTTGGGGTACTTGGCCTCAGAAGATCCCGCGTGTGTCAAAGAGATTGCTGCTGCAGGTGGCATTGAGGCCTTACAAGCCTTGGCCAAGGATGGTGCGGAGCGGGATGCACGTGACCAAGCTTCAGACACCTTAAAGCGTTTGGGCGCAGATCCAAACTCATCTGTCTCATCTGTCTCTGCAAAGGCTGGTGCGACGCCACAAGCAGAACCTGCCCTGCAAAATGCCAGCACTTTGGACGTAGAGACACTGAGAGCCGAGGTCCGAAATCTGGAAGATGGCAAGGATGAGGAGAAGGTCAAGGCAGCCGAGCAGCTGGGGACATGGTCCACAGTTTCGGATGAGAACCGAGTGCTGATCAGCAAAGAAGGTGGAGCCAGTGCTTTAGTGGCCGTAGTGGTGACAGGCAGCGATGATGCCAAATGGCACGCTGCAAGAGCATTGCGGCACCTGGCAAACAATGTCGAGGCCAAAAAGGCAATAGTGGAAGCTGATGGCATCACGACTTTGACCCCGCTTGCCAAGCACGGAAAGGGAAAAGTCAAAGAGGCTGCGGATGAAGCTCTGAAACTCCTGTCTCAGAAGGAAGACAAGGAGACAGGCCCGGCTTCCGAAGTGGAAACAGCTGGTGACATCCCGAATGGTGCAGGCACCTGCGTCGCAATGTTTTCAGCCAGGTTTGATGGGGGTCCTATGGAGCAGATGCCTGGGAAAAGTTAGATTTTCTAGGTTGTTGTTTTGACTTTTACTTTTTCGTTTTTTGTGTGTTGTGGTTTGATTCCCGAACGTGCAGCGGTTTTCTTAAGGAAGTTTCGTCGTGTCTTCAAGATTCTAAAAGACAACAAGTACGATGTTCTGATGGTTTCTGCAGATGCTGGAGAGAGCTTTGGAGATCTGACCACAGAGTACCTGGATCGTTTGCGAGAGGAGGGAGGCACCATGCTGGCCGTTTGCACAAAGCATTATGGTGAGAAGACCGCCTCTGCTCATTCGTCCCATGAAGAGCTTAAGTTTGCCTTGGACGAATCTGTGAGGATCCTTCCACTCAAGGTGGAGGACACCTATCCACCAGAGCCACCAGGTGGCCCACAACATAGATATGACGAGAAGAACTTGGCTCGCGGCTACATTCGCAGAATCTTTAAGCCAAGTGTTGTGTATTTAGATTGCAGAGACAAATCAGACCAGCAAATCGCCGCTGCCATTGCAGAACATCTGCGGAAGCATCGGCGAAAGTCCAAGGGTGCACTTGCCGGTGCAGATGCTTAAGTTTTACCAGTTCGGCGAAGGAGTATCCTTTGCGTGCGTCACTCTCCTAGTCCCGCAGTGGATCGTTGCAGGATTTCAAGCCCAAAGTATCCCAAAGTGGCATGGAACGGGGAAATGGCCGATGCTCATCCTGCAGCCAAACGGAGTGTTAATGGTTTAGGGTTTAGGGTTGGATTATCAGATGTTCCACCTCGCAAAACGGATGTGGACCTGAAGAGATAAATATCAATACGATTTGTATTGTTTTTATTGAGCTTCGTGTTCCAGTAGTAAAAATAATAGCCATGCCTCACTGCCAGGGGCACTATTTTGCCTGCTGCGAGATTGCAACTTGCCGAATCATGACAGATGGATTCAGACTTATAATCTAATTACCATAATCTTGATGGAATATATGGTGAAATCGTCCCCGAGACCTCGAATACGAACATCGGCTTGGAAGATGAAATAGATTCCCATTATCACGAAGATAATAGATCTGGAAAGGATTGGGAAAAGATCGAGGGGATTGATGAGGGATTATAGGGAATAGGGATTGAATGAATGGCATGGGAAGAGATTGGGAAGGATGGATTAATTAATGATTGAGATTTAATAAGAGATTGGGAGGAATTCTGA